TATAGGTTTATATAATTCGTTAGGAGAGTAATAATACATCGTTATACGTCTATATAATTCATTAGAGGAGAGCACATAATCGACGTAATAACACATACATACATTGATTCGTTACAAGGAATATATAATCGATGTAACAATACATACAGTTTTTACCCTAATTTGTAACGAGTACATGACGTAATAATACATACAGATCTTACACTATATTTATATATATTTATATGACGATACATCTAATTGTCTCTTTGCGTGTTTCATTTTTACTTACCGGTCCATATTGCTCATCGATTCTACGGGATTGTTAGTTTCGTCCGAGAAGCACACATGACTTATAAAAATGAAATATATCGTCGAAATAGTACAAATTATCCCCCGCGATATTCACATTCGACGAGGAACAAATCGTTTCTTCCAACATTCATTCTTTCCTATACGCGTTGATATTTATAATAACAACGACAGGTGATACGTATCTATATCGTCCCTACTTTCTCGCGTACACGTAGTTCCAATAGTTATATATATATATATATGCTCGTAGCCGTCCCCTCGAAACAACTGTCGGAGAAAAGGCGGGTGAAACGCGTGTCGAGGATGTAATCTTGGGAGGGGTTCGGGAGGGTGGAAAGTGAGACGAGGAGGACTCGCGAAATGACGGATGCCGGGCTGAGCGCACCTGCTACCCGCTTCGAAGGAAATCGAGGCGATCGAATTATTTTTCCCGAATGGCTCGATCGTTGAAAGATCGTGAGAGGAGAGGGGGAGGGTCGAGAAGGGACGACGTCTTTCGGGCGGAGATTTGGCATTCTACGAGGGGGCCGAATAAAAGGAGAGGAAGAAAAAAAGAAACTGCCGCGTTTCGATTGCGATAAAATTCGGGTGTAAATCGTCACGGATTTAATCGAATCCGTTTCCAGGCCGGGGACATCACGATTATTACGCGAGAATTCGAAAGTTGGTGTTGAAACTTGGTAAAATTCTTTTTACCACGGATCAGGGGTTATTCTTATTTGGGAATTCGTTGGATCGATATTGTCGAATAATTATTCGTTAACGAGGGTTGATCGAAGTTTATACGCAAAAATTTATCGCGTGGGAAAAAAATTTGTATCGAAGAATTCCATCCGGTTGGATTTAATAGGAAAAATACTCGAAACCAGCGCGTTCAAAGGTGATCGATAATTCTTTTTCTTCTTTTTTTTCTCCCCCCCCCCCACCGGCTGTTTTAACCCGACGCGCAACAACCGAAAAGTTGCATAGGTCGTCTGTCCTCAGCGTTTCTCAAATCATGGATCGCGACACGAATTTCCGAAATGAATTTTCAAAATTCGTTCAACAATTGGAACAAACAAACTACAACCATCCAGCCTATCATATTTTCAAAAATTACAAAATTACTTAATTATTTCGATCGAACGTAAAGAGAGATCGAGGGAATTATTTGAAATGCTCACTTACGTTCGTTGGTAAAACTTGGAAAAGAAACTTGGTGGAAAGAATTTTGAGAAAGAATATGTTTCAGAGGGGATTGAGAAACGCTGAGCCCTCCGTTCATCCGGGCTAGAAAGATCGGGGAGGGGAGGGTAATGCTTTTCGCGCGTAACCCAATTATCAGGCGAAAGGACGACGACGACGGCGATGACGGTCCTCGCGCTTGGACCAAGGGTGCAAAGCGCGTGGGAAACGAGGGGGACGGAAGCTGTCGGCGAAGATACATCATTTCACACTTTAACGATAACGTATATACACGCGCGTATAAATAAACCGGCTGGTTTGAACGAGTGTGAATATATACGAAAGCGCGCTCCAACCCCGTCCAATGAACCATCCACCAAAATTACGATGCGCGAGGACATCGTTGTACACTGGCCATCGTTCCGAAATTCGTACGGTTCGTAGATTTTATTCGAATGTGGATGGCAACGGCGCGGTTAAATCGAAACCTCGCGAGATTCTTGACTTTTGGTCGTGGTGTATCGAGTGGGCAAAATTCATTTTTGAATCTATGAAATATATTTGTTTCGACCGTTCTTCAAGAAAAGTAAGATTTTAACCCTTACATATATAAGAAGTTGCCAAAGAATGTAATTGTATTATAGATATATTTACTAATGTAAAGGCAGAGAAGTAACTGGTAATTAGATCGGTCACGTTTCGAGAAATATTCTGTGTTTAAAAATTTCAATTTTATGACGGATACGACACGTTTATTTTAACTTCGATCGTTATAAATTATCGATAAGGTTTTATTGTTTGTAAATTAAAGGTGAAGTAATTACTTCGTTTCAGTGATTTTTTATATATTGCAAAACTACATGCAACGTTTCATGCAACAACTCGACTGATATACGCTTGATTACGTTGCCTCCAAAAGCGAACTGTAGACTTCCTTGGATCTTTATTGAGAAATGTATAAAATCATTTCACTGGTGTACTCGTAAGACAAAATCATCTCGAATCGTTCTGCCTCGAGATACTGAAAGACTCGTCCATGTTTTTAATCGCGTTTCGATCGAAGAAAGTTCAAGTTGAAAAGAAGTTAGCCCGCTGTTGTTGACTCGCGGCGACAACATCAAAGCGGCGGTTTTCGAGGCCGCTTCGCGGCCGGGCAAATATTTTAACGATGCGGCCCGGCTTCCAATCAATCGCGTTTTGCAAATCGACCGCCGCCACTGCCGCGCGCGTTTCCCGTGCAAACAGACCTCGATGAAATATCCACGATGAAAAATAAAATTCCGAAAGACCTCGATCGAGTATTGGAAACCCGGCCTTTAATCCGGAATAAATCGTGATACGAGAGAAAGGGAGAAAAGTCGTGGCGCCTGTTCCTTGGGTCTCGGAAGAAGAGCGATAAATTCGAGTCGAGGTTTGGAACTCGGCAGAATGCAAAAGCCGTGGGAGGCAAGTGCGATGAAAGTGGCATTTGGTGGGGCGCACGTGGCCACTCGCCCCTCGAGGAGTGGTG